ATACATAGATATATATACAATGTAATTATAATTATAACATAAATAATATTATATTTCTTAAACGTACTACATAAACTTTTTAAATTTATTAACAATTATCATTAATGTTTTAAATATTCTTAATAATATATGTCTGTGTATATATACCGATATTGGCATACATCTGGATCTGATTTTACTATCGTCACTTGACATGATTCCATTCCATCGAAGATAGACGGATAATTTGGATTGACAAAGTGCGTATTGTTATCGGCAGTCATCTCGTCGCAAGATACTGTAACTATTAGAAAATGAAATAAAAATGTAGATTAAGAAATTTCTTTAAAACGTCTAAATGTTCAATTGATTTGATGTTCGTTTACTTATACAACAGATTCCATAACCATTTGCGCAAACGCCGCTGAAGATACCTCCACGCTGTCCGCATTCCGCTGCTGCAATGCATGTGCCATTGTCCCCATTCAATCCGTCGCAAATATCGTTATCAAATTTCACCAACGTGAACAACGAGAACACTGCAACATCATATTGTATATTTGTCTTTACACACACACACACACACACACACCCGCGCGCGCGCGCGTGCTAAATCGAAGCTCAATAAAAAATTTGAAACTTTTTTTTAAATTAAAAAAATGGGTAATATTCTTGAGACTTCCACGGATCCTTTTTATATAAAGATTATGCATTTCGCGGGTTTCTTCCGTGTCCATTCTTGGAATGCCAGCATTGCAAGGAGCAACCTGATATTGTATCAGGTTACTTCTCATCCTGATGAAGTGAACTGCAAAGTTCACGAAACGTTGGCATTCCAAGAATGGATCTGGACATGGAAGAAATCCGCGGAACGCATAATTTTTATATAAAAAAGTGGGTAATTGTTTCTCACATATTTTCTATTTCTGAATACAATTTCTTTCAAAATAGTCTCCCTCCCTTCTATCTTTCGAGTGGCGAATCTCGGAGAGGGGGTGGGGAGGAATTATAGGGCCGTGTTCTCCTTCTTGAAGTCTTTTTCTTTAAAAATATTTTTTAATAAAATGTTATATATATTTTTAATATTTCTAAAATGCTTAATCACAATTTTAATATTCCAAAAATATATTTAAGAAACTTCTAGGTTCTTGTGGCTTAAGATTATTGCTCTGTTGTGAATACCGTGATATGTAATGTTATGCAAAAATTACTAATTGCAAGATATTTAAAATTTTATATTATTATTGTGTCTGCCGATAAATTTCGCTTCTATTGAACGAGGTTTTTCAGTCCTTTGAAAGTTTGATTAAGAAATCATATGAGTGAAAAGAAGCGGTATATCACGCTCATTAAATAAATTCTTTTTGATCCAAATATAAAAATACTTCCGGAGGAATGAAACTAAATGACAAGATTTTTTCGTAATACAATACATTGGATTTGGGTATAAGGCGCTATATACTAGACTATTTTCTTTAATCTTGCTCGCTAGTGATCGCGAATTAATTTAATTATGAAATTGTCTATTCGAAGGATATTAACTTTACTGTACAAGATATTATTGCTAATATATTTTGTGTAGTCCATATGTTCCAATCTATACGTATTCAGACAAGTGCGTAAGCACTTTCTTTCAAATAGTCGGATCCTCTCCATAAGAGATGCACTCACATTGAACCATATAGGTACCCATATGTAATTATCGGCCTGACTGAGTAGTTGATCAGCAGATCAGTTTAATCTTTGGGGATCTCAGCTTAATCTTAGATATTTGGAGTGGAAAATAGTCTTTTATGTTATTGCATAAATGTATTAGTGATTTTCGACAACTGTATATCCACATGGTTCTTATAAAGCAATCTCTCATCGAAATTGATTCCAAGATATTGGACAGACAGACTTTCTATGCGAGATTCTTTGTTATCTATTTTGTTATCCATTGGGACGCTCTTAATGTGAAATGTTTTGTATATTTTCTTTGCTGTTCGCATACATTAAGTTTGCTCTAAATAATATCGTTTCACATTTGTCTATATTGATTTGTAATTTCCATGTGCGATAATAGTATTCTAATTTTCTGAACGTTTCTTGTAACGTCTATTGAATTCTGGAAGATCAACTGTCCACCGAGTACACTATCAGATCGTCCGCGAATACAATAGCTTGAGGTTTATTTAATTGATTTAATTTGAATATTCTTAAAACTTCAGCCGTATAGATATTAAATAATAGGGGAATTAACTGTGCCCTATTGTAGTCCGTTATTAATTTGAAATATCTTATTTGAGAGCCCCCCTGTGCTGTTATTAGCGATCTGTTAGAGACCATACTAGTATGATTTTAGTTAAGTGTTCTGGAAAGTTCTTTTTTATTAATTTATATATTAATCCATCTAGTCATACGGTATCAAAGACTTTTTCAATGTCTATTAGGCATGCACTCAATTTTTTATTATTAAGTGCCCAGTTTATATCCGATGTTAGTCTGTTAATTGCATGGATAGTGGAGTGTTTATGTTTGAAGCCAAACTGACTTTCTGATATGATTTCGTTAGTTTTGCAGAAAGCCACAATACGATCATTGATAATTGTCTCAAATAATTTGCTGATGTTTGGCAGAAAGCTTTGGGTCTATAGCGTGTTAGTTTTATCTTTATTTTCTTTTTTGGATTGCAACCTTGGCTGTTTTCCATTTAGGAAAGAGCGAATAATTCAATAAATTATTGAAGATTACTTTGTAATATAAATCATTAGAGATATTTTGGAGAATTATATTAAGAATTCCATCCAGACCAAAGGATTTTTTATTATTCAATTTCTTTTAGATAGATCTAAAGTATTAGTAAAATAGTTTTTATAAACTTCATGTTGGGGGTCGTTGATTTTTATTATTGAATATATCTATTTTTATTATTGAATATATCTAATGTTGAATTATTCGTTTTTTTCATTTTTTACTTGGTCTTTGAATGACTTAATTTTTTCAATCAGGCTGTAGAGTTGCGGTCTATTATTATCAGTATTATTTATGGTAGCAAAGTGAGCTCCTATGATATTTAACTTGTATATTATTTATGAGAATATAATCATTTTTGTCCTTTTCTAGATTAGAAATTTCAGCATTGTTTAATAAGAGTGAGTTAGATGGAATTTTTAACGTAATTATTTTAGCTGAATCTTTTTTTCTGAAAATACTGTTTAAGTGGGGGAACATATTTGCAGAATCGTTTTTAGGAATTTTTCCTTATTTTATTTTTCCAGTAGTTATTAATCGAAGACGAAAATTCTAATTTTAGGTTTATTTTGATCATTGAGTTCATTTTTTAAATGACAATCGTTGAGTGTTAATTGCGGGCCATTTCCTTTGGAGGTAGTGTATTTTTATAAGTAGCTTATTTTTCTTTTTTTATAATTTTTTATTTTATCATTTATGTAAGAGTTAATCGACTCTTTTTCTTTTATCTTAGATTTTTTCCAGAGTTTCCAGTATTTTATCATCTGATTCTCTAAGGTATTTCTTGCACTGATAGATTTCTGTCATTAGGGATAATATTAGTAACGTTTTGTAGCGTTTTATTAAATTTTTCCCAGTTTGTTTTTTAAAGTTATATTTATGTTTTATGTTAATGAGATTTAATTCAATGCCTGTTTCTTTACTATAGGGATACACTATATTTGACTGCTTCATGATCGCTATCATAAGATATGTTTTCTAGATCGTTATCATTTTCGATCATGAAATGTCAGTCTGGCGTCAGCTATTACTACATCTAAATAAGAATTGCCATTAGGATAAGAGGGATTTAGTACTTAGTAATCTGATTTTATAAGTTATTATTTTCTATCCAAGATTTTAGTGCAATGCCTCTGGGATTGTTGTTTGCGTTTTTCCAGTTTATACGTTTAGCATTTAGGTCGCCCGCTATTATTAGGTGTACAACTTTGCTTCCGCCGTTTTTTTTTCCGAAATTCGAGGCTTTATTGTAAAAAACTGGTTATACATTTATGATTCAAAGTATTGTCCATCGCTGGCCACTACTTTCTCCCATCTTTCGGGTAGCGTACGAATCCCGCGTCGAAAAAACTGGTCATCTTTTGAGGCTATCCATGAATCGATCCAATTTTTTACTTCTTCATAAGACCGAAAGTGCTGGTCAGTCAGGCCGTATGCCATTGATCGAAACAAGTGATAATCAGAGGGAGCAACGTCTGGAGAATACGGCGGGTGGGATAGGACTTCCCATTTCAACGTTTCCAAGTATGTCTTGACCACTTTCGCAACATGGGGTCGAGTCTTGTCATGCTGCAAAATCACTTTATCGTGTCTCTCGTTGTATCGCCGTTTGTCTTTCAATGCTCGGCTCAAACGCATCAATTGCGTTCGATACCGATCGCCTGTGATTGTTTCAATCGGTTTTAACAGTTTATAATACACTACGCCGAGCTGGTCCCACCAAATACAGAGCATGACCTTGGAGGTGAATATTCGGTTTGGCCGTCGACGTGGAAGCACGGGAACTCCTCATGATTTTCTGCGCTTGGGATTATCATAATGAACCTTTTTTCGTCCCCAGTCACAATGCGATGCAGAAATTCCTTCCGTCTTTGTCTTTTAAGCAGCTGTTCACAAGCAAACAAACGCCGTTCAACATCTCTCGGCTTCAATTCGTACGGCACCCAATTTCCTTGCTTCTGAATCATTCCCATGGTTTTGAGGCGTTTTGAAATGGCTTGTTGAGTCACTCCCCATGATCGTGCCAATTCTTCTTGATTTTGACACGAGTCTTGCTCAAGTAATGCCTCCAATTCTACATCTTCGAAAACCTTCTCTCTTCCACCGTTATGCCGGTCTTCGACGTCAAAATCACCGTTCTTGAAGCGTTGAAACCACTCACAACACGTTCTTTCACTAATAGCGGCCTCACCATAAGTATTTGAGAGCATTCGATGAGCCTCAGCCGCAGATTTCTTCATATTGAAGCAAAAAATTAAAACCTCCCACAAATGACGAGAATTTGGCTCGTAAACTGACATTTTCAATCGAGAATAACTTTATGATGCAGACACAAATCGATTAATGTTTCTATGGGGTTATGTTAACAGATGCCCAAATTTATTGTATGACGCCTATGATCTATTTATTTCGACCACCACTTACCGCTAAAGCCATCTATAGGAAAACGGCGGAAGCAAAGTTGTACACCTAATATGTAATAGTTTTCTGGCCTGTATAACTCTAATGTGATAATAGCTTGTTAAAGTTCAGGATAAAAGTTCTTTTTGGTTTCCACATCTCGCATATGCTGATATAAAGAGTTTTATTATCTTTTAGATTTAATTTCATTATCGTATGTTCTAAAATTTTTTTCATTAGATGTGTCGAGGATTGTTATGGTAGTGAATGTCTTTTTTTATAATTGCGGCTGTACCTCCACTCTGCCTATTCGATCCTTTCTTATTATGTTATAGCTTTTGAATCTATAACGATTTGAATATATACGATTTTTAACTTGGTCTCATTAATTAATATTATGTTCGGTTTTTAAGTTCTTATTAGGTTGAAAAATGATAATCTTCTTTGGTTTTTAATTATCAAATTTACATTTACGGAAATTATTTTTATTTTTTTTTAATTTCTTTACCTATTTGAACTAATGCCGAATTATACATTTTGATTCATTATTTTTTTTAAGAATGAAGCTATTGTGTTGATTCTTAAAGATTTGTCTTCGATTATTTTTTCTAATTTTGTTAAGTTATTTTTAATGTCGATTATTGCATTTTCTAAATTGTTA